CCTCAATGCTGGAATTTTTCACCCCTCTCATCTCTGTAGCTTTCTTCAACCTCAGCATTTACCTAAACATTCGCAGGAGGAGACTGAACAGCAGGAAGGTTCAGCTGCAGCAGCAAATGAGCGAACCCGCCTCGGCTCAGGGGGAGGGCACGCCCCTGTCCAACACCTTGGGGTACGGGGTGAAAATGGCTTTAAGAGGCTCCATCCACTCTCAGAGCTCCTCTCCCACTATTGGTAAACCAGACCCCTCACCCGGCAGAGTGGCCCAGCCCAGCCGTCTGTCCAGGGATAAGAAAATTGCTAAGTCCTTGGCCATCATAGTGTGTGTGTTTGCCATCTGCTGGGCACCGTACACTCTACTGATGATCATCAGGGCCGCCTGCAGAGGGCGATGCATCCAGCATCACTGGTACGAGGTCACCTTCTGGCTTCTGTGGCTCAATTCTGCCATTAACCCATTCCTTTACCCACTTTGCCACAGCAGCTTCCGCAGGGCGTTTAGCAGGATCCTGTGTGCAAAGCGACTCGGTGCACCATCATCTGTCCCCCGTGCTGGCCTGTGACCAGCAGACCGATGACAAAGTACGGACGGGCAGACATGGACCGACACTCACGGACATCCAAATGCTCAAGTCCCAGCAAAGAATCTACTACACCTCCATCACAAGCCTGTCAGATCAAATAGAAGTAAACACATTTGTAATTTTCAATACTGCTGTGTTAGGTTGGTAGGAAAACATGTTGACAGAATATTGTTAAATATTGTAATACTCACATGTACCGACTGTACGATGTACTTTTACTGTGTATACCTGCAAAGATCAGGCAAAGAAATGCAGAGAAAAAAAATTATTTGTACGACAGATTTTTTTTAGTGAGATATTTTTCACATATTCAGTTAATTACATTATTTTTAAGTTTATACAGTACTCAGTCTTCTGTCATCTTTGTTTTATTAATAATTCTGCAAATGATTTTCCTTCCCATATAAAAGTAAAAAACACAAAAACCCAGAAGCAGGGGCTTTTAAAATAGACTTAGTAACCCAGAGTTGGTCTCCAGGGTGACCCTAATTATTATAGGACAACACAGGGCACCAGGCCGGATCTGATCCCTGATACATCGAGGTCAATGCTTCAACCTCGACTCATCACTTTAAAAGGTTTTTGCCATTTTTGTTCCGTATAGTTGTCTGTCCTCGTGCATTTCTCAGATCTCTCTGCAGGACTGCTTTTATCTTTTAAGTCAAGACGACTCCTTTGAGACCGTCCACAGTACAATTACTACGTGTATGTATATTTCACCTCACAAGGTAGTACACACACCCATAGTACCTAGAGAGTAATATTTCAAAAGTGGTGTAGAATATTTGTGAACTTTCATGTGTTCAGACATACTACAAGTCATTCCCAACGGGCCTGACACCTTTAAGAAGTCATTGGTGCATGAACGGTGATCTCCAGGAGAGAAAGGAAAATCTATGGATGCCCGGAGGGAGCTGCTGCTGCTGCTGCTGCTGCAGCTGCAAGAGCAGCACTAAAAATAACGAACAGAGCAGACAATGATCAAATACCGGCTTTAAGTACATCCTAAAGAGTACCTTTAAAATACAAGCTAATGCAGCGGTGGTTCAGACGTCACGCACACCAGTGTACACTCAGAGGTTAGGTGAATGTGCAACGACCTTGCGTCAGCTGATGAAACAGATCATTATCTCCCTCTGCTGTCACAAGCCTTGACATTACAGCACTGGGACGTTTAGTATTTTATTTTGGGAGATATTATTCTTACTCATTAATTATTGCAGTTAACACTGAAATATTACATTAGTAAAAAAGTAAGCCTATTATTTTAAATCTTTTATAATTTCTACAAGGACTAGTTTACTTCTTAGTTATCACCTGTGAAATAGTAACATAAATATGTATGAAGTATCACATAATAATCACATAATCACAATGTAACAATAAGGGTGGTTTAAGCCACGTAATGCAACGTGTAAATGGATTAAAATATGTTTTTATGTATCAGGAATAATAGAAGTCAGCAGAAAGTACGTGTAGCCTTTGTCCACTAGATGTCACCATTAACCTTCATAGGTTCCTGTGCTTACAGCTGCTCGAGGCTGAGACTCAGTTCATCCAAATGCAAAACAAATCATTTCATTTTGTTCTGTTGTACAACGTCAATAATCGAATGTTTGTGTTGTGTTTTGACCCTTCCATTGGTTCATAACTGCAGTTCCAATAATAATAATTTACCACTAATGGAAAAACATAACTTGTCAAATATTTTCACAATAAAAAGACTGTCTACTGCTGCAGTCTACCCTATGCATTTACAAGTGTTTTTGCTCAGTGAATTCCGTCATACAATCTTTTTTGAATGGTTATGCAAATGAAGCACCAGCCTTAATTTTGCCTGAAAAAACAAACAAACAATTAAAACAAACAAAAAATGTTTTTAAATGAACATTCAAATATGTTAATTGCTGGATGAAGTGAGTAATAATGAGCTTTAAATAATATAAATGAACTCATCCCTTTCACTGGTACTGACACGTTTTCGTGCACCAGATGACACTGAATAATAATAATAATGGCGGCAAAGAGTGTTTTATTAATGTGTTTTGTTGTGGAATATAAATGGCAGCGCTAGATCCTGTAGTTACTGTCTTCTTGATGAATAATTGGGTCAGTGCCAAGTGCAGAGTGGCTCCGGTTTGATGTGCAGATGAAATGCTGAGAGTGCATTACTGTTTTGGTATTGTTCTCCAGTCTGGGTAGGTGTGATACATTAAACAAGTTCTTCCAGATGCAGACTTATTAAACCTGTAATTATGCCATCATGTTGGATAGAAGGGTTACGTTTGCAGGTGCCTGGCTCCCACAGGGGACTTACATTGCTCAAATTGTTGCTGCTTCCTGTGTGCACATCTGGGCCCCTGGTCAGGTGTTGGGAATAAGGGCACAGCTGCAGGGAACAGTCCTCTGCTCCCTCCTCTCTGCCTGTGGCGTGGTGGTGGTGGCGGGGGGGCAGAGGCACACTCCTGACCAGAGGGATGCAGGCGCAGTTCCCCTGGGATGACAGAAGTGCATTTATCAGCAGAATGGCAAGCTGTGGTTTACTCCCTATGTATCTCAATGTGACAGCAGCAGCTATATCACGGTGAGAGGTGCCTGCACTGTGTGCAGTTACACCAGTAGTGGTGCTGGTGATGGTCATTGATAGACTGTAATATCATGGCAGGAGAGCCAACCCTATTGGTTGAGATGTGTTTTTGTGTCCTACAGCCGTCAATCAGCCAGCAAGTGTTGTATTTGTTTTTTTGTTGTTTTTTTTTTACTGAATTTTAACCTAACAACAGTAAAAAACACTTATGACATTCAAGTAGAAAACCGTGTACATTTCAACCCATATATGTGCATCCTATAGGAAATAAATGTGCATCTAGATTGGTATAAATAAAAAAAATAAACAACCAAAAAAATAGAATATTAATAAATTAAATAAACAAAATCACACAGCGCCATCCACAGATAAGTCATCAAAAGGGAGTCACTCCTCAACAATGCAATATATTATTCACACAGCCTTATAAATGCACAATAAAAATGGCTGCCAAAGCTTTTTAATTATTATTATTTTTCTTTCCAAGCCTTGGCTCTGGTATCTGAGCTGTTCCCTTTAAGAAGGACCATTAAGTCCATCAACCAGTGTTTATGGACCAGGGGTGAAGACTTATTCCAGCTTAGTGAAACGAGGCATCGTGCAGAGAAGAGTGTTACTGAAGGCTACAACTGTGGTGTGAGTTCGCCGAGATCAGACCTACGGTCACACTGTGACACCAGAGGTTTGGTGATTTTTTTTTTGTCATCCAGGGAGGGCAGCGTCATGACAAACACACACAAGTTAAACTCATTCTTTCACTTTTGCATCTGTGCAAAAAGTGTTTTTTTTTGAGAAGCCATGACCCCCAGGCAATTTATCTAAAAGTTGTGACCCCAAACAGTACACCTGTGCCTTTTACATTTACAGTCCCATTAGCAGAGTCCCCGTCAGCACTTATGCAGCGAAAAGACCTACAAAACTTCTTCGCTAGGAATTCTAAAAAGTAAAAGGTCAAACTTCAGAGCTCTGTCTGTCACCTCATTAAACAGATCTGCACCAGATAACTAAACTAAAGGTGACGAGTGTATATAAATATAGCCGCAACATTTTGTTCGGGACGTTACACCGTGATATTATTCACGTGTAGTGTGCTGAAATTTAAAAATGTAAAAAATTAAGTGCAGACAGGGTTAAAAACGAGTTCTAATGGAGGACTGTATAATCTCCCAGTAAACCACTGTTAATATTTCATAATGAACTCATCATGAAAAATACAGTTTGTAGAGGAAGCTGATCCCTACAGAATTGTGAGAACATTTCCCTCCCTGCTTTTTCCTGCAGTGTACTTCCTGACTAGAGATTAAATAATTCCTTTGGAATCCTCTTAGGATGGGTTCCCAGCACTTGGCAATTAAACAATTACATTTAATCAGCATGGGGCGACGCTTCAAGTCACCCTCATTTCAGACGTTGATTAAAAGCAATTCTGCAGTGGTTATTGCTGTCGACTTTGGAAACTATGGTTCACTTAGGTTTAAAGCGTCGGTGGGGTCAGGTTGGATAGCAATATGGCAGGTTGAGTGGTGTCTGAGAGCCGTATCTGCCTCTGGTGGGTAAAACAGTAATGACAGAACTCAAGGCAGACCTTATATTGTCCCTAAAGTAGAGCTAGTTAGATTAGTTGGAGACATTTTGACCCTACAGCGAAGTGAACTCCAGGAACAATGGAAAGGAGCTGAGCATTAGCTAAGGCATGTGGGAGTTTAGGTAGAGGCCAGTGTTTCAATAGGAACACATTTACCAAAAAGTACAAACACTTAAACTAAAACTAAAACAAACCTAACTTATGAACCTTTATCTCACAAGTAAAAGGGTAAAATGTCCACTTATTTCAAATGTAAAAAAATATACTTCAAGTCCATTCCCTCGGACTGAAATGTACTACCAATGTATAACAAACATATATACACACATATATATGTACACATACATATCCTCCAGATCTGAGCCCTACTGAGCCACTGCTACAGTGGGATTGCGTGTACACAGACTCATACACTCCTGTCAGATCAATGTCCTTCACAGGGACGCAATGGAATCATTATTTGTTTCACCACAATCCCTGGCTTCTCGTCCTGTTTGCATTTAAAACTGTAGCTTTGTCAACAACACATAATAAGGAGGAAGCTGAGCAACAGTCTTCTATAAACACAGACACAGTTATAGAGTTACAATTTAAAAAATGTCCATGTCACTCCTCTCTTTTCTTTCCTCTTTTCTATATAGTATATTGCAATTTTAAAACATGTCAATTTAAAATCAATAGTGAAGTTGAGCGAAGGTTACATTCGTTTTATTACAATGTCCCATAGTTCCATAGTTCCAGCCGAACGTCCTGATGAGCCGGGCTCGTACATTACACTCTGCCTGTTTGTACACAGCTGTTTCTCCTTTTCCCATCTGCATTTCAACACATTTACTTTGAATGAAATGCACCTTGACATGTACAATTTCATCATGCCATGCAATAACATCTCCCTCTGTGATGCTACGCTCAAGCCAGGAGAGGGCACAGGGGGGAGGAGGGGCTTGTGAGCAGCTATATTTGACATCACGCCTGAGTGAAAGGGTGCAACGTGGCATGGCGCTGGAGCAAACACTATAGCCTTTCCCATACAAGGCGGGTGAGTGGTGATGGATGCCCAGCCCCCTCTTGTGAAGCCCAGGTGCCCCCTGTTTGGTGAGACACCCCACCGGCTCTCCAGTCCTCTTAATTAGCAGCTTCCGTCAGCTGGCGCCCGGGCCTTCGAGCAGCGATCGTCGGCCCGCGCGCCGCTGAAGGAATGCGGTTCAATCCAACTTTTCAGCTTCGGTGACAGATGGATACACGGGTGCGCTGAGTAAGAGGCATCAAGGTCTTTGCAAACCTCTAAATCATCTGTGAAATTTCCTTGTATCTAGATTACATGCAAGCTGGCAGCGGGAGAAGAATACTGCTGAAGCCACGAGCGGTCCGCGTGTCTTGGTTTTAATAATAACGGCCAACTGCAAAGCCAGGGCCTTGAGCTTTGAGTCTCAGCTGCAACAAGACATTGATGATTTTTATATGATGAAGTCAAATATAGATAAAAGGTTTCTCCAGGACAGATATAAAGGCTGACAGCAGTGCA